ACCCTGGCTCAACATAACAGTGTCCCCAGAGCCAGGGCGTGACAGGAAACCTGTAGGAAATGTTATGCTGAAGTACTGAAAATCCCACCTAAGAAACATATGGTTCTCAGAACATTATGGCTAGCTGGGTATCCTGCACCATTCCCAGAACATCGTGGGAAGCCAACCAAGCTCTCACCAAGCTCTAAGAAACATATGGTTCTCAAAACATGATGAGCTAGCTGGGAATCCTCTGAGAAAACCAATGGTCCAAACCTCATGTCTATCATAATCCATTCAAAGTTATTGGAGTTTTTACCCTTGTAGGATGGCCAAAATTAGGGTGACTAAATCAATGGAGGCCAGAGAAAAAAAGTGATCAAATTCCACAGAATGACCTCAGCTAGGCAGGATGCTGTGTGAGAATGAAGGTTACCTGACAGGCTTTTCATATTAATGAGATATTCCTGTTATTTGTTTAAAGATTTCTCACAAAACAAGCTCTCTGTGAAATGTCAACGGAGCACTGAGCTTATACCAAGCCTTTTATTTTAAAAGCCTTTTACATTTAATTCAGCTCCTGTCAAGCTAATTTAGCTTTTTGCGACCCTGAGCAGGTCAGGTGGACACCCTACCAATAGTGTGATGTAGGCTATAGTGTGATGTAGGCTATAGTGTGATGTAGGCTATAGTGTGATGTAGGCTATATTTCGCTACAGTAGCCTTCTGAGTAAAAAAAAAAAACACAAAGTAGGCTAGTCCTACCACGTCGGATGAGGTCAAAACCATCAACAACCCTTTTTTGGGGCACAAAAAGGGACTGGGTTGCAAAAAGGACAGCGGTTTTCAGTGGGGGCTTCGGGCAAGACTGTCTCCTCTAAATTGAAACAAAAAAAATAATTAAACAAGACTTTAGGTCGTGATCACACTTGTCATGTTCAATTCGGAGTTGAGTCACATGTGGTGAGAAGCCTCGTCTAATTATGGAAAAGTTGTCAAGCCTTTCGGATTTGCTTGCTATCTCCGCGTGGTACCCGCCCGAGAAACAACAGGCTGTCGGAAACCTGTGCCCACCATTGCCTCACAGGCAAAAACCTGTGCATAGCGCGGGACGTACGAGCTGTCTGGTGAACCAAGATGTCTTGATACATTATTCACAGAATCAGTCAAGTGAATCGCAAAACATTCAGGGGTTTTATGCGTGCCATTTTCTCTCTTAAGGACTTGTGTCTGGGAAATGAGGTGGTCCACCAGTTAGCCTAATGTGATGAAAAATTAAGGTCACTCTTAATTAAAGGGCGACTGCACTTCCTGATTGGGCCTCGTCTTAGATTTGGCCAAAGATAGCCGAGTTGACTGCTTTAACAATGTGAATACATGTCTTCAATGATTGAAGGCAGGCGAGATCAGGTGGGACCACTCCAGCCAATGAGAGGGCAGATACGTGTGTGAACAAAAAGCACAACTAAGTCGTTTTTCTAAAAGTTGCCAGAATGCCACCTGCATCCACTTATAGGCCTATCAGTCAGCTGTGAGCATGTGCGCGGGATTAAAATAAACCCAACCCATAGAAAACAGTACCTTTCATTCTGTGACCTACCATTTTTTCCTATCATCTCCAGATCTTGACTTTATGACCAAAACTATCCTGTTTTACACTTTGTAGTCAGTTTTGACACTAATAAATGTTTCTGACTCATATCAATGCCACATATGCCATTTTCAAATTGAGACATTGCTTTTTAGGGGCAGTCGCTCTTACAGGCCTAATCCCCTGGTCTTCGTTTAAAATGTGTGGGGAAGAATTAAATAAATAATCCAATTCTGATTAAATGTATGGTTTACTGTACAAAAAAGATATGTGTACACAAAAAAATATGTTCTAACTTATTGACATTTGGATGCCTTGTGAGGCAAGTAGACAGAACAAGTCAAACCAGTCATGACCTCCCAACAGTTGGGAAACACTGCAGTTTTGAGGAACATTGGAAAAGGGTGCCCTCTGCTGTTTTTTTAAAAATAATACTAAAATAAAATAGTTTTAATAGGGATTATATTATTCCGTTCCCCTCTCACTAAAATACAAACATCAAGGTCACATGTTATTGATACATTATTATATTTAAAAAAATAAGACACCAAAATAAGACATTTTCTATTTACAAACTGTAATAAATGTTTTTCTCAAAAGCCTTACCAAGAAAACAACAATACCGGCTTTAAAACAATGGCATCAGACTCCTACAATGTTACGGACTGTCTTGATTATTTTTTTTGTACACATTCAGGACACATTTTATTATCCAGACAAATGCAACACTATTTTTTCCTAAACCAAGTGAAAGAGCTCCGACTCTACATGCAGTTGTGCTGCTCTGTGTGTGACCCTGTGCCTCTCAATGTGTGTTCTCTTCTTTTCAGTTACATGAATAGTTACATGAATACATGATTATCTGTGGTACCTTTGGATGGTGGGGGTAGACAGACACTAGACAGGGATAGGGTGAGCAGGGTGGGATGGGTTAGAGGAGAGGAGAGGGTGTCTGGGTTCACTATGGCAGACAGTCTTGGGTCAGACAGACGCTAGGCTGCAGGGCCTCAGGGGTGCCAGTGCCACTGACAAGGTCCTGGTGTCACATGACGGGGTAAACAAGGTCAAACAAAGTCAGGTTACAGCTGTCTGTCTCTCTGTCTCCCCCAGACTGGAAGACTGACTGGAACCAGCAAGGTGACTTGTGTCATTTCCAAAAGAAAGTATAAAATAAAACATAATGTAACAAAAATAATTATCTGGAGTGTGTCATCTCTTTTATATGCTGTCGTCCACGTTGTGGACTACCACCCTTTTAAAACACAGAGACCTTCAATTTGACCAGCAAGGTGCCTAAGCGCAGAGACAAGGTGTATAGGGAGAGATGGAGAAAGGGGAAGAGGTAATGGGGTTGAGGCACAGAGGGGAAAGAAGAGGGTTGAGGTATACAAAGAGATAGAGATGGAAGATTTATATAGGCAGGTGTATGGGAAGGGAATATTTTTGAAGAAACAGTTGAAGAGAGTATAGAGAGTAGGAAGAAAATATAATTATATTACATTGGTATATTAGTTGATTTGTTAATTCGATGTTATTGGAGGAGGTGTGAGCGAGAGTTTATTATTTTTATTACATTTTTTGGGGGTAGATCAGCTTTAATATTGCAGATAGATTGTTACATCCATCAATGTAATTGTCTGCATCACTTCCAATCCCCCATATGTTTTTTTTCTTCTCGCAAATATATAGATATATATATATATACACACATACATATAAATACATATATATACACATATCCTTTTTTAAAATACATTTCCCTTTATTACTTTCCAACCCCACCACCCCTTCCCTAATTGGAGTAAACTAGTGAACAACAACGCTTAGGCCTCTACTTCCAGCTTATACATACTATATACATTTTATGGGCACAGTCAATTTTACAATAATTATATTTTGTTTGTTTTTACTCCTGAACTTCCTCTACCCTCAACCTCTCCGATCATTTTCATGATGTCCATCCAGTTTGCTTCTATATGCCATATCTTTTTAACTGTGCTCTTTCACAAAAGCTCTCAACCTATAACCTATATACTTATTATGGACACAGTACGCTTTACATTAGTTATCTTGTTGTTATTCGTTTTTGTTAGTTGTTATTAGTCCCATCCTTCAGCTCCATTCAACACCTTCCATCTATCTCTTAACACCATCCATATTGCGGAGAGTTAATGTTAATAAATGAGGTACACTGGTACTGATAACATACAAATAAATCCATGGTCGACCAATAACACAATGGGATTTAGTATGTTGAGCACAACCAATCCAATAAGTGACTAATTGGAAACCATGGAGACAACAGGAGTAGGTTGACATTGAGACATATTGATCAATATGTCAAAGCACTCTATGCCTGAGGCAGTTTTGGAGTGAAAACAGACATAGACAGAGACAGACACAGAGAGAGAGAGAGAGAGAGAGAGAAGGGGTTGCACTGTAGTCTCCCCTTAGCTTTGCCGGGGGTGTGACGCTGCGGTTATCTGTCTGATCTGGTTTGCTATAGGCTTTTTATTGATCACAGGCTGGGTGAGGGTAAGGATGAGGGGTTTGATTAGATGCCCCTCGTGGTACTGTCCGTCTGTGGCCAGTAGTCAGTCGGACTGTTAACTGGTAATACCGCTACATCCTGGGGCCAGTTCCAAGTCCAGCCCAGTTAACACCAGACAATCCCAAAACACCCTGGACCGATCCCAGTGATTACAGTCTACTGTTTAGCATTCAGTCTAATGCTAATAAATGTTTATTCACTCAGCACTGTTAGCGGTAGATAAAGTACAGTAGAACAGATGTTTATGTGTGTGCAAAGTCCCACACATCACAATCAATGCACCACTTAATGATATAGCAACACTAACTATAGGTTGAAAACAAATACCAAACTATGTGTTAATGGCAAACACATACAATTTGTAATTTGTGTTTTAGCTATACAATAAAATACACAGTGAAAGTAATGTCAGCCGAATTACGGTAAACCCTAAGCCCAAAATGATCGTGGATCAATCCTTGCAATATCCCAATCTACCACTGGATGGAGCCTTGCCACCATGAGAATTCTGAACCATATTCTGAATACAAGTGCAGTATCTTCACAAGCTGGCAACACAACAATGTCCTAACAACAGGCAATAACCCCAAGTGTGTTATGCTAACCACCCATGAGACTGATCCATTAGCAATATGTATTTTCCTTAACAGCAGGAACTACTAATTTTAACATAATTACTTTACAATATAATAACTACAGTGTGTTACCGTACAGTCCGTTTGAAAAACAATGTCAATTAAAGCAATCCTTGACCAAAAGGTAATGCTCCTACCATAGGTAATGCCCCAGGCAGTGTGCTGGGGATATGCTGTGGTGGTGTGTGTATGTGCGTGGATGCATGCATCCATGTGTGTGCCTGCTTTGAGGACAAGACTGTCAGAAGCTGGAGTGTGGTGTACGGACATGGGGCCCACTAGGCTCCCTCTCAACACTAGGCCTGCTAGCCGGCTTGCGGTAAGTGAGCCGGCGACGGAAGTGTCCGCTGAGCAGGATGTAGATGAAAGGGTTAATGCTGCTGGCGGCGTAGCTGAGGCACACTGACAGGTAGTAGCAGGTGTAGTAGGCTAGCGTGGGCCGCCGCACTGTTAAGTTGACCAGCTGGAGCATGTGGTAGGGCCCTACGCTCACCAGGAAAACCGCCACTAGGACAAGAACCATCTTGGTGAGGCGGATGGCTCGCTCCCGGGACTGGTTGTTAGCACTGAAGCTGAGGAGGGGAGAGGAACCAGGGGCAGGGGTTAGTGACAATAATGACCAGCACAGAAGCATAAATCAAGAAGTTCCCACCTGCATTAGTTAAGATATTATTCTTTCTATAATTTTGGTTTACTGAGTGGATAACCTTGTCCTTAGGCTAGCTAATGACTAGATTACTGAGTGGAGGTCATGGTTCCTTAATTTTCTCCAGCATAGAACTGTTTTAATGTCATTTATTTTTAGAACACCCACCAAAACCTGTAATTTCATACCTGTGAGCATCTCTATTTCTAGTGCCTCACATTTACTGTATCTAGTACCTCTGTGTGTCTATGTTTAACTATTAGCCTCTGCCACGGGTGATGACCACGACCACATTTGACCACACGCTCTGCCACTAGAGATACCATATGATCTCACCCTGCCCAGGGTATGACGTTATTCAGCCTTGCTCTATGCACGCCCATGTGTGCCCGCTGGGCAGCTGCCAGCGGGGATGACTCACCGCCGTTCCCTCTTGTTCTTCAGGTACATCCTCCAGGTATAGCACAGGATCAGCATGTAACAGGTGAGGATAAGGGGCAGGGGCAGAAAGAAAGATGTGATGGTCTGATAGAGGGTGTACCTGGGGGGAAGAGAGAGAGCGAGAGAGAGAGAGAGCGAACATGTGTATCAGCTTGCAGTAGCTACAGTAGCATCCAACTGGGCGAAAACTGGTTGAATCAATGTTGTTTCCATATAATTTCAACCCAAACAATCTATGTGATGAATGCTGAATCAACGTGGAAAACTAATTGGATTTGCAAAGTCAACGTAAGGGCATTTCATAATTTTTTCACCCCACTTTTAACCTAAACCCAATGACATGGTTACATTTTTTGTAGATTTCACATTGAATTCACGTTAGTTGACAACTCAACCAAATGTCAATCAAAACTAGACGTTGAACTCACATCTGTGCCCAGTGGGATGTCCCACTTCTATGAATACATTTGATCATTAGATAGAATGTAGGAACTGTAGCTAAACACTTTTTCACGCTGTTAAAAGTGTATTCACAATGTTATTCAGTCTTCAGGATTACAGTAATTACAGTGAAGGGTGTGAGTAACGAAGCACTCAAGTAGCAGGTGTTAATTGTTCTACCACTGAGTAATACTATGCTTGAAAGCGGCTCTATTTCTGAGATCAGGTTCCTCCGGTGGTTTTTCTGCCTGATACCCTAAAAGGCCTCTTTACCAATTAAATTGACTTTTGGATTTCTATTAACAGTTTCTGCAGGAGTCCAGTAAATTCCCCAGCCAATAACATGTGTATGGTTTGTCTTCTCATTAGTATGGAAAGTTTTGGACTTTGGCTGACCTGATGTAGCCCATAGTCTGTGATTGCGTTCCTATTTATAAAGCTAGTTGGGGGGAGGGGTGGTTAAATAAGGCATTGGAGCAGAGGATCATGATATAGACCAGCATGACTCATCTGACCTCTGACCCCACCAGACAAAAATACATTGACTCCAAGTTCTATTAACATCATATTTCGTATTTCTTTCAACACTGAATATTTATTTCAAGTGCAAACCAACAACATGATTTCATGGAATGGTTTACCCCATGTTGAAATCACATTAGTCAACTCAATTAAATATCCACCAAAATTCAATGTTGATTTGATGTTATGTCAGGGTTGTGACCTTACCAGAGCACCTCTTTGGGAGTGACCAGGTTCATGGAGCAGCTCTCCAGTCCATCAGGGAAGCGGATGACTTTGGAGTGGACCCAGACGGGAAGGACCATGACAAATGACACCACCCACACAAACAGGTTGATCCAGATGGTCTTAGAGCGGGTTCGGAGGGTCATCAGACGGAACGGGTGCACCACCGCCAGGTACCTATGAGACAATTGATAGGTCAATGTGAGGAACTGACCAATTAAACCGTTTTAAGTGGAAATCTGACAAAACAATGGTTGTCTGTGAACCAGGAAAATGAATTAAAATGCAAAAAGAGCACCAAGAGGATGTGACATGGGTTGTTAGGGAAATTACATGACAACAGGGATGTATTATCTGTGGGTCGGAGTAGATTACAATGTATTATACCACATTATCCAGTTTCTTTTAAATATTCTTCTCACTCAAACACAGACAAATGCCTCCCTGTGTTACCCATATAATTAGAGGATACAGGATTGAATACTGGACCCAGGATTCAGACCTTCAAGGGTAACATAATGGGATTTAATTGCCTGCAGGTTTAGTTTAAATGAGTAATTTACATGTATACTGAATAACAACACTGTGAATTTAGATCTGGTCCCATGATAAATCTGCATCAGCACTTGAAACCAGGAAAACCAGTAAGTTTATCAATGCTCTTGTCAATCAGACCAACCTCCAAATCAATCTCAGTCCCCCTAATATTAATTGTCTTAATAAGCAAGCTGTATTACACAATATTCGGATAACAAGAACAGCAGCAGCAGCACAAGAGCATGGTCTTCATGTATGTCAGTGGTGCATCATTCATAGAAACATGCTGATTTAATTATCTATAGGCTACAACAGCTGTCCACTGAATGTATGAGTTCCTCTTCCAATTGCATTATCATAGGAGTGCAAAACTGACCCTATATGTCACTGAGACTATATGCCACAAACATACAATCCCATTAAATAACCTAATTTCTATCCTTGCAGACATAGGCTGACAACACAATCTATTGAAGGGTTGGTTGTTTAGCAACAAAACCGATGCGTGCGTAACTGTGGGGCAAAACAGACAGGGTTGGCTTTAGAATGTTGACAACATGTAAACGATATTTAGTCTCCAAAGTTTATTGAAAACATAATACATTTGCACAATGAGCACTTGTCTCTCAAATACATCGTTAAAGTTGTTGGTTAGCTAGCTAGCAAATTTTAGCCATATTAGCATTGACATGAAATCAATCAAGCACCTCAAAACAAGACAGTGTCAAGAACAAGATGAAACTACAGTCGCTGAAACGAGACACTTATGATTCCCCACATGGCAGCTTCTTGTCATTGTTGCTAGCTATTTGGCCATCCAGAATCACAACAACTTAGACTTCTGCACCATTGAAGCGTGCACATTGTTTTCGTGACGTTGTCAGCTAACCCATCTATACAAAGTCAGGTAGGGTCACAATGTTACTATCTGTAATAAAGTGCAGATGAGACTGTAAAGTGAGAGTGAGAGTGTGTAGAGATTGCGGGCGAGACGATTGAGTTTTCATCTTGTACTGGCTTAGAATGAATGGAAAGGTACCTTTGATCATGAGCGCATAAGCACATTCTTCAAGAGCAGAACAGTTAGCTAGAGATGATTTTCAGTGGGTTCGGCATCCAACTGGCATATCTTTAATACGCAGGGGACACTGACATGGAGTCCGCTACGCTCATCAATTATACAACTGAGGCCACGACACCATCTGTATATATCACTAGAAACAGGGCATTCAGGGTAAAGAAAACCCACAAATTATTAAACTTCCACAAATCAGTTAATCGGTTAGTTGTTCCTAATCTGAGCCAGATAACACTTACGAATTTGAGGGATATTTATTTTCCCTCCAAGTTATGGTACCTCCTTTAAAAAATGTTGCATGTTTTTAGTGGGACTTGTCTGCCACTTTGTACGCAATCAATGTATTTGTATAAGAGTGAGTGAATTTAACAAAACCAGAGTAGATGTTTTATTTCAGCTCATGAAACATGGGACCAACACTTTACATGTTGCGTTTATATTTTTCTTCATATTAGATTGTGGCTTCTATCAATGTAATTATCTGCATCATTTCCAATCGCCCACATATTGTTTTATAAATATATATATTCCTGTATTATTTTCCCCTAACCCTACCACCCGTCCCCTAATTGGAGTAAACTAATGGACTACAACACTTAGGCTTCTACTTCGGGCTTACAGTGGGGAAAAAATGTATTTAGTCAGCCACCAATTGTGCAAGTTCTCCCACTTAAAAAGATGAGAGAGGCCTGTAATTTTCATTATAGGTACACGTCAACTATGACAGACAAAATGAGATTTTTTTTCTCCAGAAAATCACATTGTAGGATTTTTAATGAATTTATTTGCAAATTATGGTGGAAAATAAGTATTTGGTTAATAACAAAAGTTTCTCAATACTTTGTTATATACCCTTTGTTGGCAATGACACATGTCAAACGTTTTCTGTAAGTCTTCAGAAGGTTTTCACACACTGTTGCTGGTATTTTGGCCCATTCCTCCATGCAGATCTCCTCTAGAGCAGTGATGTTTTGGGGCGGTTGCTGGGCAACACAGACTTTCAACTCCCTCCAAAGATTTTCTATGGGGTTGAGATCTGGAGACTGGCTAGGCCACTCCAGGACCTTGAAATGCTTCTTACGAAGCCACTCCTTCGTTGCCCGGGCGGTGTGTTTGGGATCATTGTCATGCTGAAAGACCCAGCCACGTTTAATCTTCAATGCCCTTGCTGATGGAAGGAGGTTTTCACTCAAAATCTCACAATACATTCATTCTTTCCTTTACACGGATCAGTCATCCTGGTCCCTTTGCAGAAAAACAGCCCCAAAGCATGATGTTTCCACCCCCATGCTTCACAGTAGGTATGGTGTTCTTTGGATGCAACTCAGCATTCTTTGTCCTCCAAACACGACGAGTTGAGTTTTTACCAAAAAGTTATATTTTGGTTTCATCTGACCATATGACATTCTCCCAATCCTCTTCTGGATCATCCAAATGCACTCTAGCAAACTTCAGACGGGCCTGGACATGTACTGGCTTAAGCAAGGGGACACGTCTGGCACTGCAGGATTTGAGTCCCTGGCGGCGTAGTGTGTTACTGATGGTAGGCTTTGTTACTTTGGTCCCAGCTCTCTGCAGGTCATTCACTAGGTCCCCCCGTGCGGTTATGCGATTTTTGCTCACCGTTCTTGTCATCATTTTGACCCCACGGGGTGAGATCTTGCGTGGAGCTCCAGATCGAGGGAGATTATCAGTGGTCTTGTATGTCTTCCATTTCCTAATAATTGCTCCCACAGCTGATTTCTTCAAACCAAGCTGCTTACCTATTGCAGATTCAGTCTTCCCAGCCTGGTGCAGGTCTACAATTTTGTTTCTGGTGTCCTTTGACAGCTCTTTGGTCTTGGCCATAGTGGAGTTTGGAGTGTGACTGTTTGAGGTTGTGGACAGGTGTCTTTTATACTGATAACAAGTTCAAACAGGTGCCATTAATACAGGTAACGAGTGGAGGACAGAGGAGCCTCTTAAAGAAGAAGTTACAGGTCTGTGAGAGCCAGAAATCTTGCTTGTTTGTAGGTGACCAAATACTTATTTTCCACCATAATTTGCAAATAAATTCATTAAAAATCCTACAATGTGATTTTCTCAATTTGTCTGTCATAGTTGATGTGTACCTATGATGAAAATTACAGGCCTCTCTCATCTTTTTAAGTGGGAGAACTTGCACAATTGGTGGCTGACTAAAAACTTTTTTCCCCACTGTATACAGTACATACAATATACATTTTATGGATACAGTATATTTTACATCAGTTATCTTTTGTTTGTTTTTAGTTCCATCCTTCAGCTTCCCTCAACCCCTCCCATCTATCTCCAAATACCATCCAGTTTTGATTTCTATTTGCCATATCATTTTCAACTGTGCTGTGATGTTTCACAAAAGTTCTGAACCTTTCTATTCTGATAGTTTATAGTTTATCGACTACGAGAGCTACACGTTTCCCCTTTTATTCTATTCACATTGAAGAGTGGGTACAGAATTTTGCACCGTTCTGCAATTTCCTTCGGGAACTGATCATTCATGCCTATTTTCCCGGGCATTTAAACAGAGGCCTTACCATGGCAGAGGCTGCCAGATTAGTTCAACTCAATCTGAAGGTCAATTCGATCATGAGAACATTTCGCCAAGAAAACCGGTAAGTCTGCAGACCTGTGAGGCGTCTGTTTCTCAAACTAGACACTAATGTATTTGTCCTCTTGCTCAGTTGTGCACCGGGGCCTCCCACTCCTCTTTCTATTCTGGTTAGAGCCAGTTTGCGCTGTTCTGTGAAGGGAGTAGTACACAGCATTGTACGAGATCTTCAGTTTCTTGGCAATTTCTCGCATGGAATAGCCTTGATTTCTCAGAACAAGAATAGACTGACGAGTTTCAGAAGAAAGTTATTTGTTTCTGCCCATTTTGAGCCTGTAATCGAACCCACAATTGCTGATGCTCCAGATACTCAACTAGTCTCAAGAAGGCCAGTTTTATTGCTAACATAATTGCAAAAGGGTTTTCTAATGATCAATTAGCCTTTTAAAATGATAAACTTGGATTAGCAAACACAATGTGCCATTGGAACACAGGACTGATGGTTGCTGATAATGGGCCTCTGTACGCCTATGTAGATATTCCATTAAAAAAATCAGCCGTTTCCAGCTACAATAGCGATTTACAACATTAACAATGTCTACACTGTATTTCTGATTAATTTGATGTTATTTTAATGGACAAAAAAATTGCTTTTCTTTCGAAAACAAGGACATTTCTAAGTGACCCCAAACTTTTGAACGGTAGTATATATATATATATATATATATATATATATATCCTTTTTTAAAATATATTTCCCTTTATTACTTTCCAACCCCACCACCCCTTCCCTAATTGGAGTAAACTAGTGAACAACAACGCTTAGGCCTCTACTTTCAGGTTATACATACATTTTATGGACACAGTCAATTTTACAATAATTCTATTTTGTTTGTTTTACCCCTGAACTTCCTCTACCCTCAACCTCTCTGATCATTTTCATGATGTCCATCTGGTTTGCTTCTATGTGCCATATATCTCTAACTGTGCTCT